ATCAAGAAATTATATAAGATACATCAAATATAATATATGTATAAGATACGACAGATATAATATATGAAATGTATAAGAAACATGATAGTAGCGGTTCCACTGAACTTGCTACAATAGCTGGAGATTGGGTGCAGACTGAACTGACTTCATAGATTCTGCATGAAGACTCATAAAATTTCAACGAGTATGCTCGAATGTTCATTAAATCGCCAATACTTTGATAGTTTTGGAAGATGATATTCATGTAGACCTTATATGGTTCATACAAAGTTCCAGTCATATCACTGGTTCGAGTAAACCGTATAATTTACAGAGGTTTCTTCTTCTCACACATGGGCTGGCTCCTTGTCCGTAAACACCCTGAAGTGAAACGTAGAGGTGCACGGCTGGATCTGAGCGATTTGTATGCAGATGAAATTCTGATGTTTCAGCGAAAGTAAAATTATTTTTCATTTCTTCAAAGCCTTCTTTTTCCAACACAGAGCATTATGAAGAATCGTACAGTTTTCCTGGGAAGCGGTGCGTTTTTGTTCAAACTTTATATAAACTACTTTCAGGCACTATAAACTACTCGCCCTGCTGTGTTGCTTCCTGATCCCCACGGCTGTACCCGTGTATTTCTGGCGCGAGTCTGCACTCGTCGCCTTCCTAACTGCTGCAGTGTTCAGGTGATTTGGTTTACTTTGAACTTGATATCCTGTCATCGGAACATTAATACATTGTCTATTCAAAGTCAAACGAATTGTAATATTACAAAACTTTTCAATACATTTCTACGAGTGTACAATAAAGAAAGAGAATAATTCTGTTTAGAAGCAAGAGAAAGAATGTTTTGGTTTCCACTTGACTAAACGAAGAGTGTTGTGGCATTTTAGGTGGATATGATAGAATTGTTCATTCCAGATATTGTTTCTGTCTACATGAAACGTGGCTGATCAATTCAGCAGCTCATAAGTTTGGTTTCAAGCCGTACGAGGAACAAATCACTCCAACGGACTCATTTTGGGTAGGCGTTTCTGCAGTATTTCCAAAATCAAGTGAATTTTCACTCGGTTAATTCTCGGTTTGATTACCTGAGGAACTGTTGGCGAGAGCAAATCCTCAACTTTTCGACAAGGACATTTTCGAGCGCTCATGCGAAAGTCATGAAAATTGCCATTGAAAATCTTGAATTATTACAGTTGGCTGTGCTAGCTGCTGGTGAAGGTGGTCACAACTATCATCACGTATTCCCACAAGATTACCGTACCTCAGAGTATTCGTTTGTTCATAATATCACCAAAGTGGTCATTGATTGGATGGCCTCCGCTGGGCTCGTATACGACCGTAAGGTCGTCTCTGAAGAGGTCAGCCTATTCATTCAATCGTTCAATATCTATTACTCGTTGTATGCATTTAAATGCCACTCTTATACTACTGGGCACTGTTTTTGTCGTTCCTTAGTACTGTCTTTTCCACGAAGATGTTAGTGGTTCACTGCTTGTAGAATCGTCACTGCTTTGGTCGGTAATGTTTTGACCGTTGATTCAGCGATCTCAAAGTAGTCCAAATATAGCAACGTTTTGAACCCTTCCACATCATCATCATAAAGTTCAAATGAATCTATGCTGCAAAATGTAGTTGACTTTGAGTCCTGAAATAACGTTTCAGAAGTATATTACTTTTTCATTATCACATTTTCCCATGCAAGAGTGTGATTATCTGATTGTCACTGAAAAGGAAATTTGCTGACTGAAGCACTTTTCTGAGTTTCCCATTGATTGTCTCGAAAAAATCACCCATTTTTGATCTAAAAACTCGTCTGAGAACGTCCTGTTTCATGACTTCAAATGGAAAAGGGAAAAGATTTTGTCTTGCCACTGGAATCTCATGTATTACGTCAAATTTCCAATAACATATTTGAAAAATTACAGTGATAATTAAGCGACCAAAAATTTTCTTCATTTG